ACAGAGGGGCTCGGCCGCGTTCTGACCAATCAGAGCAGTTCATCAGAGCGGGAGTTAGAGCGAGAGCCAGAGGAGCAGAGTTTGTGGCACTAAAGTGTGGATTTAAACAAAACCGAAGGATTTAAGAAGAAAAAAAGTTCAGGATGACAAGGGACACTAAAATCCCCACAAAATCCGATCTTTATTAAAGCTGTAGGTTCTCTGTCAGCTGAGGTTGAGCTGTTTTAATATGCATTGAGTTCTATGGGGAAAATTTCTGGGTAGCCCACGTGAATTTAGTCTGCAGTACCGCGAGAATCCCCTGAGCACATGAGTTATTCAGCTACAAGCTAGTAATACCCTATCCAGTTAATATAATAGATCCATGGTCGCGCCTCCTCCTCGCCTCCAGAGCAACAGCAGCAGCAGCAGCACGTGACCCGTTCCGTTCCCTGCAGTGATTGGCTGTCTTCTTCAGCGCCAAACTGAAGCACTGAGCGACTGTTTAATTTTTAAAAGTTAGCCAGCGTGAAGCAAGTGTTTTATTTCGTTCCCTGAGCGTTGTAGCACGTGATTAATCAGAGGAAAGTACTGTAGATCTATTACCATTCAAAGTACTTACGTTATTTCTAATCTGTCAGCGCACTGTTTAATGTCCCGAGGAGCTCACACGGCACAGAGACAGAACAGAACTGGCTCCAATAAAGAAACAGGTTGGTTGAAAGGCTGAAAAAATACTTATTGTGCTCTTACTATCCAAAATGTATAAGTGGGTGTGTTGTGCGAATCAGGATAAACTAGGGATGAAAATATTCCACGGATCCACGATTTACAACCTTTATCTGCTGATAATGTAATTTCTGTGAAATGTGTGACAGCGGGCACTTGCTGTTATTTGCTCTAAGCACATTCAAGCGATGCACTCGAATGTGCACGTCCTGGTGCAGCTGCTGCCGCTTTGTAATGACAGCCGCGGCGCTCAGTGAAAGCACAGCTCTAACATGGTACCGAGCTCGGACCATATGCAGACAGAACCATGTTGCAAGTGCGGGTCTCCCTCGTATCTCCCCCGTTTCTCCCCTGTGTCTCTGACATGTCTCTCCCCTGACTCTTCCCAAAGCGCAACCAGCGCTCCCAAAATTAAAGCTCGGATACCTAAATTTTCCATTGCGTTAACGATGCATGCTGGTTGTGCGCAAAACACACCACAACAGGTCATTTAAGTTTTTATTTTGCATACTTGAGAGCCCTGTGAGTCATTACTTGCCTTTTTGGGTTGAGAGTGGAATAAAAAAAAGAAAATATAGAAAAATCCACACTGTTACTTATTGCCAAACTCTTGTTAACTCATTGTATTGAGAAATACTATGTAACTTTTGACATTGGCCAAGTTATATACATGATTCTGATTCTAATGTATATGAATGTCTGTTTTTGATTGTCTATACCTTCTTATATAATTTAGAAAAAATGCCACCTCCACAAAAAAAGATAAAAGATATCAGGAGCTTTTTTAACAGTTGGAAAGTAAGTAAGAGAAAGCACAAGTAATAGCAAATTATGAATTGTGATGATTAATCTTCTGTTAACATACATAGGAAACTCAACCAACAAGAGAGAACAATATAGGGAATGTTGAGGTAGAAGCAACAGGCCCTTCAGTGCATCAGGTGAGGTTGGAATTTTGTAGGTTTGCATGGGACTATGAATTGTTTTTAGAGATTGATCATATATGTCAAACAATGTAGTGAGCTACTCACTGTAGATTCTAATTCAATATTTTCTCCTCTGTTTTTATTTATTATAGGCAATTGAAAGATCAGAGCATGATTTATTTCAAGTATCGAGAGCAGTTCCTGAACTGTTAGAGCCTCAGGTGAGGGCTATTATGTAGATTTGGATTAGGTTTAACTCAGTATAGAATCATACTAAAGTTAAAGAACATCATTTGGTTGGAAATTACCTATGCCAACTCAAACTCAAACAAACTATAATGATGAAAAAAGTGTTGTCTGAAATCTTTTACTAAATATAGGACACTCTGAGAGATATAATGGAAATTCAAGAAGGAGATAAAGACAAGGACAAGACAGGACTCCAGGTGAGGTTAGGATTAAGCAGTTATAATCTTAGACCCATCAACCAATTCTAGTTTCATGAGATATTTAGCGACTGGTGTACCATGCCTAGGTTTCATTTTATTCAATGTAGAATGTGTGTTTTTATTAATACCATAAAGGAAAGTCAGACAAACAGGGAATGTGCAGTGCTGGTAGAGGATGAGGAAGTGGCTGGACCTTCAGGGCTTCAGGTGAGGTTGAAAGTATTTATTTGGTTTTGTTGGTGGTTTTATTTTGTATATGCTTAGATCTGATTTGTTTAATGTACTACATGTGTTTTATTTATTATAGGGAACTCAGGTATTCAGGGAAGATGTAGTGCAGGCAGATATCGAAGCTGGGCTTCAGGTGAGGCTGGAATTATGAAGATAAAATATGGGATTTTTTAATGTTTCATAACAGTGTATTTGCTATTTAGGAGGCAACCAATGAGAGTCACTCTCAAGAAAGTGCCAGGGACAGCATATTTGAGATAGGTTGTAAACCATATCAGCCTGATCCTGAATACAGGATATATTTACTATCTTATTTACTATAAACATTTAAGCCATCTTGTGGACAAAGTTAGAATGAACGCAACACAAAACTCAGAAGCTCTGATCCAATTGATTTTGTTTTAACTATTAGAAAAAATCCTTAACTGCTCCTCATTCAGTCTACAGCTGAGTTTAGTATAGAAGGGTTGTAGTGAATGTCCCCACCAAGATTGGAACCAAACCTACACCATTGTCTTAATGATATATGATTTTGAGGTGGCAATAAAGCAGATTCTTTGTTATTTTTTATTTCAACAAAAGGTGTATTCTGCTGTTTGTTGTGGTTCTTTCTATTGACTACTCCCCCAGAGTAAACTATCTCAGCATCTGTTCAGTCTTGCCTAACTACCTCCTACTATATTCAACCTGTACTTACCCCACACTGGAGAGGCCTGCTGTCTCACACTGGTCTTAGTGTCCTTGGTGAAGAAGTCTAATGTGCACTACACCACAAGGACTCACGCATAATTTATGGCACACACATCCAGACGTGCTGCTGTTTACCTATCGGGGCTCACTTCTGTGCTTCGAGTTGAAGTGTGTGTTGATCCTCGCTGACCACAACACCGCAGTGACCGCACCCCATATAGAATTGCTTCACATAGTGCTGGCCTTCATTTTTTTTTTTTTCTCATAACCGCATGAATACACATGGTTATAGATCATGTACTGTTAGCAGGAGTTTCAATGCCGATTGGTCTAGTTCAGCCATTCCCAAACTCAGTAACACCGAGGCCCCCTTAAAAATCTGACGGGTCTGCGTGGCCCCCCAAAATAATAACCAAGAAGACAATATTAAGAATAGGCTCTTCTGGTTATTTTATTTTGGGGAAATAGCCTCTGCTACAAACATTGTAATACAAAAATGATTACAGTGGATTATTCAAGTCAAATAATGAACACAAATATTTTAATATCACAAACAAAACATTATAAATTTAACATTAAATAATTATATATATATATATATATTTTTTTTTATGACCTCCCGCGGCCCCCCTGCAGTACCCTCGCGGCCCACCAGGGGGCCGCGGACCCCACTTTGGGAGACACTGGTCTAGTTCATTAGATGATCTCAAAATGTACACATACTTTGCCTATAAATGGGGAAAACACGTGTACAAAAACTATATATGAATTTTGCACCAAACATTCTGACATCACATGATTAAGACTTGTCCGACTGCCACTAACTTCTGCAGGCCAAAATCCTGGTCAAAATAAACACAGCTCAAAAAGTGGCATTGATCTTTCTACTACAATCTGCTCTGTAGTAGAAAGATCAATGCTCTGCTCAAGTGATGGACACCGACACAACACCTTTATTGTATGTTCCAAACACTTTACAAGAATTCCTAGATCAGAGTCATTGGTCAACAGCAGTGACAAATCCTGCAGTGTTACCAATCCTGAAACAAAGTACCCAGCCTGCCAACCCAGTTAAACTCCAGGAAACTGACAATTATATCCATAAAAAAATACAAATAAATGATTCATGACATAGGGTTATTTATTTTTTAATTTTTTTCTAATCCAAAATTAAATACACAATTTTGGCCAGCAGGTGCTGCTGAAATAACTAACATACAACTGTATGTTGTTAGCGCTGGGAAAAGCAGTGGTTCAATGGTAGAATGGTTCATCACTGTGTGCGAAACAGCTCATGATGTCACAAAGTCCAGAGTCCAGGATGCTATAGCCAATGCTATAGCCATTCCCATACCACCAGCTCTCAATGTTAAGTCAACTTTAACATTGAGCCTGGACTTTTAATTGCTGATATCAGAACATGCATGTAGAAACACAAAAGAAAGGGATGTCCAATCTGAGACTGTTTTAAGTTCAGAAAGTTGAGCAAATTTAATGTTATAATTCACAGAGGGATAAGTGCTTTGAGCTGCTTTGATCATGAAGAGAAGATTTGGACAATTTTAAGACTGCAAAAAGTTTTTGAATTGTTGTCAGAGTTTAGTGGTTGTGTCTGACATGTTTTCTGAATGGGAAGAGTCTGGGGAGGGGGAGTGTGGGGGTTGATGTTCCCGATTAAACCTCCTCATATGAGAGGTACTTCTTTTTGAGATCTTCCTTCTCGGCTTTCGAGGGCGTCTTTTCTTCTCCAAAGTGACCTCACTTAGAGTGTCTGAGGACTCGTCAATGAAAGCCAGGTTCTCTCCGAAGTAATCCAGCATTTTGCAGCCAGGAGTATTTATAGAAGGCCGAGGATGGAGTAGGTCCAGTGGCTTTGTAGATGCTGAGGCAGTGATTTTAGGTATGCATTCCTCACTATCTTCCGCCACAATTATGAAGTTCTCTGTTCCAGATAGTTTCTGTTTTTCTGGATTTGTTTTTAAAGCTGGTTCTTTTGTTACCTTTCTGTCCCCTCTATCTTCTGTGAGACATGACTGGAGCTTATGTGCAGTAAAAGAGGATTCAGAACCTGAACCAGATGCCTCCCATTCAGACAGCGATCCTTCCTGGTGTTGCAGATGATTAGGCTGCAGCTCGCAGACAGAGCGTGCAGCTGGGAGGGACAGTGACCGAGACAGCAGCTGAGGACCCGTCCTGGTTTGGACCATAGGTCCTGCGACTGAAATACTGACCCGCTGTTTGCCCGGAGATACTGCTTCCCTCTCCAACTCCATCATGGAGGCAGACAGACCAGCCCAGCGGTTTGGCAGGTGACCATTTTCAGATCCTCCCCGGACCAAATAACCCACAGTGCATTGGGCTCCGCGTCGAATTTGTCGCCGTTCACTGCGTTTCCATTTTCTTCTCTGCAGGAGGAAGGGGTCATTGAACTCCAGAGGATTGGGAATGCGGAAGTCCATGGACATGTTCTGGATGTTCTGGGTCCAGTCCGTGGCATGGGCCCTGAGCTCCTCCATCTGAAGCACAAGGATTCAGCAGGTCATTTATGCTCATGTAAGGAGTGCATCATGGTGAACTCACCTCAGCTCGAGTCCTTTTGGACAGAACTCTGAGCCAGTTTCCAATCATCGTGAGGATGGAGGCAAAATAAGCAAGGCCAAAAACGATCCATAGCAGTACCAGGAGTTTAAACATTCCCCATTTACGGCCCTCTTTTTGAAAAGAAAAAGCAAATCAATAAGCAGCCTGCCAGCTTCTGGTGTTGATCATTTAATTGTACCTTTATACCTGGTACTAAGTCACCAAAACCCACAGTAGTAAGAGTTATGACCACAAAGTAAAGAGACTCGATAAAGGTCCAATCCTCCACTTCATGAAACACAACTGTTGGCACAGCCAGGAAGATCAGGCAGCCAATCAGGATGGAGAGGACAGCTGAGAGCACACGCACTGTGGTCTGTCTGACCTTGCGCTTCTGTCAAGGAACAAGGCCAACATTAGACTGAACCAAAGTCATACTGAAGCTACATAACTCAAGATTCTTTTACAGAAAATTCTCACCAGGAACAGAGTCTCTATCTTGGCCACAGCTCTACGCAGCACCGTGCCCATGTGGTCACTCACTCCAGCCAGAAGGATACCAAACATGGGAATCCCAACCAGAGCATAACACACACATAACAACTGTCCAGGCCATGTCCGAGGAGAGAGATTTCCAAACCCTGGTCAAAACCAACAAACTGTTTAAGTGTTAAACTTATATTTGAAATATGCCGTTGTTTGTACCAGCCTGCTACCTATAGTGGTGATGATGGTGCCACAGAAGAAGAAGGCTGAAGCAATATCCCAACGAGTGCTGAAGTTGGCAGAAAGGTTATTGGCATCCAGACCAGCACTAACAGCAGACGCCACCTTCTGGAAGAGACATACAAGAGGCTTTGTTACACCTGTAATCCTCTGTGGTGGTTGTTGCTGATTGTACCTTTACAAGAATGTTGAACTCCACCTCTGAAACACAAGAGTAGTTCTGGAGGATGGCCTCTCGAGTGGCCAGAAGGCTGCGGTAAGCTTTTTTCTCCTCAGGCTCCTCCAAGGAGCTAAACACTAGTGCTCCCAAGCCCACGTAGAGCATGACCCCCAGCAACAGGGCTAAGAGGGTGGTACAGCGCATCTTCCCGTAGAGGTCAAAACATAAGCCTCAGGATGCACCGGGGCACAGCTGGTCATAAACAGGAAGTTCCTTTGATAGCACGCTAAGAGAGAAAAGGAGCAAACATGTAAACAAGCTGGACATGTTCATGGAAAGTCAACAGATGAAATGACCTTCCATGTGCGTCAAAGACTGTCCTGAACAGGAAAGTGTGAGAACTGATGATGTCAGACAAAACTCTTCATATAATAGTAACAAATGTGTTCTCAACTATGTACAATCTCAGTTTTTATAGGTAAAAGGTGTGTATTACTATATACTATGTAGAAAATAATGTGTTTTAAGCAGCAATACCAATGCTGTTAATGTCTGCAAATTATATTGCTTTAATTTAGAATGAACAGCCAATAATTTAGACAAAACCATAAAAGGAAGTTGTAGCACCCAGACATTGTTCAAAGACAAAGTCTTGTTTGTAAAATTTTAGAAATGAGTTATCACAGATCACTGAAGAGAATAATCTGGCTCATGTGACAATGTTTTTTCATGAACTCTCAAGGGACAGTTTTATAGCAAGGCAATGAAAGGTACCTTACATAGTGATCCCAGCAGCTCATCCCATGTTTAAATCAGGCGCTGATATCTCCCAGACTGGGCTCAAAAGCTTCACGTTGTACTGGACAGAGCAGAAACAGACCATAAATCACTAGTATTACTTATACTCCTTGGTTTGTAATTGAGCAGGCTTCAACTGGTGGCAGATGTTTCTGTGTCTGTTTTCACTAGTGTCAAATCAGGCACAAAACACATGGTTTTATTTTGCCCATGCAGTAAAGGAGGTGCTAGTATTGAGTTTAAATTAGTCCCAGTGCAGCAGTCTGGCCTGGTCAGAGAGTGACACGTCCCAGAGCCCTTTGTTTGGTTTATTTCTAAAGCTCATTTGCAGGCACTCAGATGATTTATCTAATAAATATTCGTTGACATAAAGATTTAAATAAAAAAAACTGGGTAATAATAAATAGCAAAAGCAACAAAAAATGTGTTCTAATCTTCATATACTTTATACGTTCAAAGTCCAGTTTGACCGTTGTCATCTGTGACATCAGACACCAAAAGAAGTAGAATACAATAATGTACCATTTAAGGCTCCTGGATAAACAAATCTTTAGATGAAATTATTAGAGCAAAGTTAAATCATTTCCAAAGTCTACTGACGTCAATAATGTGGTCACAGGTTACAAGAGTCTGAGTTTTCTGCTCTGGGGAAGACTTCACCCTTTCATAGCATGTAAGCAACTCAAGTATTATTTTAGCCCAATTGGTAGAAACATAATTTAGGAAAATTGCCCAAATTTTTTCGATTAAAACATGACCTTGGTTAAATGTCCACAGTGGACTTAGTGCTAGGACTAACTCTGCTTGTGTTAAAGTTCAGTGGACGTACCTTTAGTTTGAAGTCTTGTTGCTATCCAACTTTAGGAGCACGGCTCTTTCAGCAGCAGCAGAGCTCTCAGTGTGCGAGAGCATTCTCTCCTTGGATGGAGTTTCCCCATTCTCGTGACCCTACATCACTCCGACAGAGGCAGCAGGAGGAGGACGATAAAAGGGACAGTGGAGACGTGCAACATCTCTCTCACAGCTGTGGATGTGATTAAGTGAAGTCAATAGAGGAAAAAGGAAGAGCTCAGAGTTTCCTGAGTGTGGATGTCCGGAGGATTAGCGTTCAAAACTCTTGAATAAAGAAAAACGTATACATGCAGACGCCCAGGGGGGTGATCAATTATCATTAATGATTTAATAAGTTTAAAAAACTTAGTTATTAACACTGGAGATCTAAATGTAAACCCCAATATCCAGTTAAAAAAAAAACCACACAGATAGTCATAGATTTGAGGCATTGGAATTAACTTTTATTTTATTCATAAAGCAGCCTTCACCTTCAGGTTGACAAAAACAAGGCTGATTTCTGAAATGGATTTGTAAGGCACAAAGCAGCTCATATACCAGAGGACTCAGTGGCTTTTCATAAGACAGTTATTGTACCATAACGGTTTCTCTTCTATGATTACATCAAAGAATCTTGTGATTTGGGAATTGACTTAAATTATACATTGTAAGCACATTTACAGAAAGTCTAAATAAATAATGTTTGTTCAAACATATACCTTAAATAATAGTGTAATCCAATATGATCTGCATTTGGAGTTTCACACACAAAACAAAGTAGTGTGTATCAGAAACAAAGACGCAGAGCTGGATAGACCACAGGAGAGCAGTGTTCCTCACCATACATGGAGCGGAAAGTGCAGGTTTAGGGCGACTCACTCCCCATTGCACACAAACATCTCAGACTGCAGCCACACTCATGTATACACACACATCAGTCTATCCGCCACACAGAGAAATCACATTCAAACAATTAGCATTCACAGTAACTATCAAAACTTTAGGCAGTCCAAGCCAGGCACATTCAGCGACCAGAGCCCACATGATGATCTAGGAGCAACAGAAAAACACTGCCTCTGATTTGGTATTTTGTTCCCTGATAAATCCACATACAACCAAACTATATCTGCCCTTATATACACAGCTGGCTCTATTACAAACAGTACTTATCAGCAAACTGTAATCAGAGAATGAAGTAGTGACCATTTAGGTATTTACAGTCCCCAGCACAGGTGTCCCTCAAAAAGGTGTCAATATCGGGACTATAAACAGTTTCTCAAAGACCACAGACTGAACCTGTGCTTGTGTGGTTAGTCTGTTTCTTCTGCGTCGGTCATGTTTTTCGGGAAGACTGGTACTGCAGCCGTTCCAAGTAAACCTCGTCTCACAATGTATGGACAGGAAGGACCGGTGGGGATGTCTGCGAATCCTGCAAAGACAAAAAAAGCAAAATAATTAGTATGTGTAGTATATATATATATATAATATTAGTAGTGTATTGGCCTCCTTTGAGCAGTGTATTCAAACTAAACTTTTCATTTTTCAAATATTCAATCATGCTGAAGAGTGCGACACATTCAAGAAAAGCTGGTGCAGAGGAAACAAAAAACTAGGGAAGTTTAGGGATTCTACAGGCCAAAAAACATCTCTGCATCTAATCTACAAGGCCAAAAACCAACAGCTTCCTCCGGACAGGAGAAGAAAAGTACAATCTGGATTGCTACCAGATCAAAAGCTTTGATAGTACAGACAATTTTAAAGGTCATCTAAATAATTAAATAAACAAACAAACAAACAAACGGGTAAAGACTACAAAAAAACCAGATTGGTGCTAATGCTAATGCACCGTTAGCAATCAAGACATATTTAGAGAATATTACATAATGCCTTTATGGACATTGTTTTGAAGATGAGAAGAAAACGTGAACATCAAGTGATAGTTTGCATCTGTGTTTATTTACTTTTTCTTCAATGTTCCCTTTTGTTTCCTGTCAAATGTCCTTTCTTTCCTGTACCTTCTGTTTCTTGGTTGCTTATTGTACCTCATTATGTTGCTATATGTTTGTCTCTCTTTTTCCTGTATTGTTGAATAAATCAAAAACAAAAAAACAAATCTAAAATCAATAAATGCAAGCAACGAGTAAAAAAAGTTCTAGTCCTGATACATCAGTCAATCTTTGAACACTGCCACTCTCAACCCATCAACCCATGAGCATTCTCCAAATTAAGTTTTGTTGTTTTAACAATGATATTTACTCATTATCAACCGGAATTTTACCCTTTACAAGTCGGAACAATCGCTTTACCATCAATGCTCCTTTGTACACGTCACTGTGACCTCTAGCGCAGATCTCGCAGCTTTATCATGTGTCCTTTCATTTATATAATGATCCAGCTATTGAGCCTCAAGTCTCTCCCCTTACGAAAAAGACCTATTTACTGTTGGAAAACAAGGCTGGATGCACGGGCAAGCAGTTGGTATTAGCTTTATTTGCCACAGTTATTTGGCAATTGGAGTCATTAGATTACCCATGTGCATTGCGGTGCGTGGATAAAAGAAGAAACAATGGCTGAACATCAATGGCCTGAAAACCACTACAAACTTTTATAAATAAAACGTTTTATTTGTTTGTCAAAGTTGGTTTTACAACCAACATCCCAATACAAGTTTGCCTCTTGCAAAATGCACGCCCCGACTGTACAATGTTGATGTAGACAGTATGCAGATGGATAATGCAAACCCGCTAGTTCAATGAAGCCCAATAGGGAAGTGCTCATGGACAAAGTTTTTCGCCAACGCTCTCTGGCTACTATTGACATTAAAGAGTAAAGTTCTCTAGCTCCTTGATGTCACACTCACCATTTTGGGCTTAAAATGTGTGCTTTAGCCCTCTCTATGATCCTGGTGTTTATATTCTTATATTGTCTTTGTAAATGGCACTCAGCCAGTCCACTCCTCATATACAGTCTATGTGTAGGTGAGAAACTTTGGACAAAGAGTGTACCTTTCATGACTACCTCCGGCAGACCATAGGGTTCGTACTCCGTGTCGTCGAAGGCGGCAGACAGCTGAGCTCGGCTTCGTCTGATGCGCTCCGCTAGCGTCGCTGGGTCGGCTGAGATCGGGAACGCAGCTGTGGAGATGGCGTCCTTTGAGCAGTGGACTGCAGCTGCAGCAGACGCAGGCTCCTTCTCAAGTTCAGTCACTTCCTCCTGAGCGTGCGGCTGGAGTTCAGGCTCAGTCTGAGAGCCGACAGACTTCACCCGATCTTCAAACGGCTCCAAACCTCTGCAGAGGCTTTTGCCATCGTCCCTTTGGTTCTCTGGAGCTGGAGCAGTGTTCTCTTTGTCAGACTGAGGAGTTTTTAAAAATGCATTATTTAAAATGAAATCATTATTTAATTTAAGTCAAATGAAGAATAAAATGCATAATGTTTTTCACCTGAGAGTTGTTCTTGTTGTGTTCTTGCAGAATTGAGAATGGATGAAGAGCTTTCATTTCCGAGATTTGATTTGTTTGGAATCTAAACAAACAAACAAACATTTGTGCCGTACATTTTCACTTACTGATACAATCAGAGGGCTCTTGCATTATGTGTGAAGCACTTTATGCTGTTCTTTAAGCAGCTGGGTGATAGGGTGTCTTCAATTCACCAACAGCTAAATAAACTGAGGTAAGTATAAGGTTTAGAATAAGTGTATTTTAGTTTTGTTCAAACAAAGCAGGCAGGTTCAATCTAAAGGCTTGAGAAAGAACAGAGCTCATCATGGCCTCAAGTTTTGATACATTACTTGTTTGGGAGATCCTGCACCAATTGGATCTCCCAAACAAGTAATGTATCAAAGCTTTGATCAGATTCATGTTTTCTGACACAAAAGTGATAAATACTAGTGATGCAATGGATGCAGGACATTTTTACTGATTGAACTCGAATTTTGATTGAATCTTTTTGATACTTGCACACAGGCAGGAGAGAGCTTTAACTTGTTTAATTAAATTGTGCATATTTTAAACAAACATTGTGAAAGGCAAATGAAGAGATGTAAAGACATGCTTCTGTCCCTAGCTCACTTTCTTCAAAACAGCAAAATGGTAAATTTGGCACAGAACTAAATGGACGTTTTTTCAATAATTAACTGTTCAATTGCATCCTTTGTTGAGAGTACACATCGGGGTGTTTTCTAGATTACCTGGAGAACAGAGTGCGTCCTTGTAGTTTGTTGGAGGAGCAGGACAGCAGTATCTCATCCTCCCGCAGCAGAGTCACAGGCTGAGACTCTGTGAGAGCACACGGCTCAGAGCACAGTCTCCACACAGCCAGCTCCTCAGTCTTCTGCTGGTTCTCCTCACAGAGAACCTGGAGCTTTGCCTGCAGCGCCACTACCTGGAGAAGAGCAAAAGTGAATCAAACGGATGTCATGCATAAAAAATCTTTGCAAATAGACGGAAAACTCTAGATTTGAAGCAGGATGTGTATTTTACCTGTTGCTGTAGATGGCTGATTTGATCCAGTTGTTGGGAGCCTGGTTCTTTGCCGCTCTGCTGAGCCTCAGTGCATGTCTGAACACTGACGTCACACAAGACTGTAGGCATCTGCTCCTTCAGAGCTGAGCCACAACTTTTATTTATACCAGGGACCTTTCGTGTAGTTATAGACTTGATTTTCAACTGTAAAAGACTGTTTTCCTGCTGCAGGCTTAGCATCTTACTTTGTAGCTCTTGCTCTGTAAACCTATCTTTAGGCAAGTCTGTTTGTTCTAGATTTATAGGGTTAGCTTCATTGACCAAACCTTGTGTAAGTAACTGACAGTCAGCAGTCGCAGGTGTTTGTGCAGCAGAAGTCAGCTCTGATGTTCCAGCAAAACAACTCTTGAGACAGGTGGAAGAATTGTCAGGATCCCCCAATCCGTCTCTCTTTCTTGCATCATCCTTTCCTACTTGATCTTTAAGTACACTGAGCTCTTGTCGACACAGCTGCATTTCTTCTTCTTTTTCTTGAAGCTCACTTAAAAGACCAGAAATGTGTTTGCTTTGCATTTCAAAAGCCATTGTCAGCTGCTGGGTCTGTTGCGTAACCTAAAAGTACAAATGAACATAGTCATGAGAAAACTGAAGATGAATTAAACAAGGGTCTGACATTTATTTTCATACCTGGTTTTGTAAGATTTCCAGTTTTATCTGGTACTCGTGTGCACGCTCTTTCTCCAATGAGTTTTGTTTTTGCAGAGAGAGCACTTGTGACTCCAGAGAAGAAAGCTTGTCATAACTTTCTAAATTGTTTAATGGCTCATCCATGTTTTGGTTTTGAATTTCTTTTTCTAAGTCAGTCACAGTTAAAACTGGATGCTGAGGATCAACAATTGTTCCCTCATTTGGAATAAGATGTCCCAATACCAGAGACATTGCATTTTGCTGACTATTCCCCATGCAGGAGGAGAGTGTCTCTGGTTTGTTGTCCACAGCATCAGAGTCCTCGTCCTCTCGGAGGCACAGGTAGGTCACAGGGCTGTTGGTCGCACCCGGCCCCTTTACCATCTGTGAGCTGTCGTTTAGACTGGCTTTAAGCTGCTCTATCTCAGACTGAAGCCCTTGTATTTTCTCCATGTCTGCACTTTCTTTGTTCATAATTTCAGCCTTGTGTTGTTTTCGCTCTTCTCGTTCTAAAACCAGCTGAGCCTTTACCTCCGACAGCTGCTTCTTCAACTCCATGTTCAGCTCTATCATTTCATCGGCTTTATCCTGAAGCACAGTGTTGTTCTCATCACACTTTTCTCCCTCTCTTGTTGTCAATGTCTCTGATGCAGCCAAGGCCTTCTTCAACCTTTCCACCTCAGACCTCTCCTTCTCCAGCTGTGACTTGCACTCCTTGTATTGCTCCTCTTTCTCCGTGACCTGGCTGGCATTTTTCCGGCTCAGTAGCTTGAGTCTGGTTCGTGCTTCTGTCTCCGCTCGTCTCTGAGTTTCCAGATCGTCTAGTCTTTTCTGCAGTTCTTCTTGAGTGTCTTTCAGCTCAGAGTGCAACGCTGCATTCTCTGCCAGCAGATTCTTCTGCTTAGAGGGTGAACCTTGAGAAATAGTTTGTGAGCTGTGTCTTTGTACGTCTTCAAAAACATCCTCTCTTTTTGTTTGTGATTCACATTCCTCCCTCTGTAAATCCTCTGATTTTATGAAGAGATTGTCACTTAAGTGTTCAGAGTCGATGCCTTCTCCTGGCTCTCGGTCAGTGGGATAAGGCACTTTGATTTCCAACGGTCTGTTAACCTCCTCTCCCTTTTGCTTAGCTGTGTGAGTGGGGCTGGGCTTTCGTGTTTGGTACAATGAGGCATTAGAGAAAGTCTGAACAGGAGCACAGATCTGTAGTGGTTGTATAGGAGTGATGGCAGCCTTTTGCTCTGTAGAAAGAAGATTCAATGTAAATAAATGTACAATCGGAAAAACAGAAATACAGCATAGTTTAGATTTTGAAGTACAATTTATCCCCACCAGGGGGCTTCAACTGCCAGCAGTTTCACGTCTTTATTTCATGATGAATCATTACGAATGTATTCATAGGTATTTTCACAAAGTTGTCAGGCGTACTCATCAGTGATTTTTTTCAAATTGAACCATTGTTTTAACCTGCTGTACTTCTGTGGAGTATCGGGTAAACATAGATTTGTCAATAGTGAGCCACAGCTTACCCTGCAGTTCCCTGAGTAAACAGCGGGCGTGGTCCCTCTCCTCTGTAAGCCTCCTCCCGTCGTCCTCAAGGGATTTTTCCTTTTTCTGACTCTGCTTGAGGCTCGCAGTCAAGGCTTCTGCCTCTCGAGAAGCTTCCTGGTACCAGAATAACACACCAATATTATAAACCTTTATCATAAATTACACAAACAATTGACAATTACTTGTGATAAAGCCACTACTTACAATCTAATATAAATGTTAAAACAAATATATTCTAAATAGCAATACGGTACATTACCACAATTTTTGCTTGTGCTTGTGCCTCTTTCTTTTGGCTATGCTGTAGTTGTCCTTCTGTCCATTTTAGTTTTTCCTTAAGTGTGTCCAATTCTTTCACCAAACTTTGTTTATGTACAGACTCCTAAACAACAGAAGTGTGTTTAACAAATGCAGTTAAATACACAGTCAAAACACACACAAAAATACAAAACATAATGGTAAAAAAGAAACACTGACTATTCTTTTATTATGGATGCAAGTTTTTTATAATTATAAACTACAAGATAGCATGGAGTTGGATTTCATCTGCCGCAAACGGACAGATTATTTTGCTCTAGTGTTTGTCAACTCGCATTGTTGCACTGTTGACAAAGTCAAGTGTATTGTTGTGAGCATGCACTGCACAAAAGTCAGTCTCAGACATGGGAACAATGATTCATGCACTTTGGTTTAAACTTGACACTATGTGAAGTATCCAGTGTTCCACCAGCTCATCCCCATGGAGTGGAAATTGGTTTGTGTTATAATAACAATAAAGACAAGTGACGGGGCAAGTTACAGATGTATGGAGGCTCACAGACAGAATATTATATACAGATTATGTCAATTAAGGCTCTCATGATAATCCTAACTAATGGTGTTTTTTCTATAACCAACAACTATTTTAGTAGCAATGAATAGTTAACTGCTTTATATAGAACTCCAAAAGAAACATGATACTAGTCAAAGAGAGCAGGAATTTAATTAAACAAATTAAACAGGAAGTAATAAATGCCCCATTTTGTTTTGGAACATCTCCATGGAAACAAGCGGGCTGTAGACTTCCACCATTAAAGATAACGAAGTATTCACGTCATGCACAAAGACAAACTTGCAAGACTTTGTGAAGTTACGGTAAAACGCCACCATTACCTTTGTCGCTTAACATTTCCACTGGGAACAAACTGACCGCAGTGGTGGGTGAGCAAGAGGGGAGTGCGCTTCAGAAACAAGATAGAAGTGCAAGTGAGAAAGAGACAAGCGTGAGGAGAAGTAGGAAGAAGATGAAATGTTTCTAGAAGATTGATCTAGTCAGAAAGGGTGACCAGAACTAAAATATATGTTACATTCAAGTCACAGAAAGCATCTACACTGTAGCTGTAAGCGAGTACCTTCTCCAGTTGCGCCTGCAGGACGTTGTGCTGCGCTCGGGCCTGCGACAGCTCTTGATTGAGTTTGTTTATGTCCTGCTGGTGTTGCCTCTCCATAAACTGCCTCTCCTTCTGAAACTCCTGCAGGTCCTGAGAGCGACAGACAGACGTTTGTTCAACAACCATCTACTTCACATTCATCATTGTTTGCATCACAGAGACTCACTCGCTGGTGCTGCTTCTCCAGCTCTTTGGTGCGCTGCTGATGCTGCACTCTGCTGCTCTCGGCGTTCTGCCTCTGGCACTTGAGCTCTTCTTGCACATGTTTGGCCTTTTGTTCAGCAGTAGATGCCTGTCGAAGTCACATATTATTATGATACTGAAACAAAACAGGAAAAATAATTGACCTTTATGGTCTCTCTTTATTATACATATTCCACGGTAACAAAGTATCCATGGTGTAGAAACCATAAACTAGAAACTTTTACAGGAAGATAATGTCTATGGAAAAAAGGCAACCACTTACAATAAGTGCAAGCATTTTTGTATATTTTCAAAGCAATAAAACATGTGCAATGGGTAAAAACACATTTATAAGATTATTAGTAATCAGGTAAACTTCAAGATTACTAAAACGCAACATACTGGGGCTACCCACTTTTCCAAGGTTCTAGAGAAATGGGTAGCAAAACAATTGGTAGAACATCTAAATTTCGACCATGCTCCTCTGCACCCAATGCAGTTTGTCTTCCATGAGCACCATTCCACAGAATCTGTAATAACAATGCAGCCTCTCATCGCTGCAGGACGAGCTCGAGGCCGGGCTGGTCGTATCACGGCTGACCCCTTTCACTCCACACATGGAGCAGGAGGCTACAGTCCATTTGGACCAGAACCTCCCGCCATAAGAACAGTTTCTTCCCCTCTGCTGTTGGACTCTTGAACACTTCAAAACCTTGTGTGACTTTTTAAGGGCGGGGCCCTTTATAAAGTCACTTTACTGCCCTTTAAAGAAGTCCCTTTACTGCCCTTTATAAAGCCACTTTACAGCCGTCAATTCACTGCACTGCTTAATGTATATTGTAAATTGTGTGCACCGAGTGCACTTGTTGAAAGGGCCTATTGGGACTCAAAAAATGCCAGAACAGCGCCACCTACAACAGCCAAAATAATACCCCTATGGGAGTTTTGGAGATCAAGTTTGTCGTAGAGCCATGAAATTCAGTACACATGTTTGTCAAGACATGTAAAAAATATTATTATGGCTCCGCCCTCTGACAAACAGGAAGCCCATAAATTTCACTGCAAAATGGAAAAATGAACAGCAAAAGTTTTCACACATGTCGGTTGGAAAGCGGTGACTCCTCGGCCGTTTCACCGATTTGCCTCAAAATCGCTCCACATCATCTAAACACATGTACCTTCATTTTGATTTCACAGAATTTTGATCAGTGAAACGTTGTTTGAGCAGCTGAGCGCCAAAAAGTGGCGTATTTTTTTCAGTTTTTGACAATTGAAAAATTGCTTCCGTTTGCACAAACAAAGTCTGATTTGCACAAAACTTGAATCTATGGTTCAACTCTAAGGTCTAGGTCATTTAAAAGTAAAACATTTGAAATTGGCTCATTAGCGCCATCTACAACAGCCAATTTAAAAACGCCTATGGGAGGGGTTCGAGGTAAAAATTGTCAGAGAGCCATGTAATTTGGTACACATGTTCCTCAAGTCATGTCCATGGATGGTCCATCCATCCATTTTCTACCCTTTAATCCATTTCTGGGTCAGGGGGGTGGCAGTCAGAGATGCCACCCAAGTCTCATAGCACCAGCCCCTCACTCCTTAAAAAACTATGTAAATGTGGTTGCTAGGGGTCAGAATTATGATATATGTAGGTTACGTCTAAATTGCATCACACAGAATACTATCGTCTCGTGATGAAATAAATGGTAAATGTAAAACAATAGAATAAGATGAAAGCAGTCACGTTAGATTGTAGGTAGAACGCTTAGCATGCCATATGAACCCAATGGCTAGTGTTTTCAGACTCTGTTGACTGCACTAATACAGGTCCTTCGCTGGTTTGGAATATGAATTGTTCTTGTTTTTATGAAGATTTATTTTTATAAGAAGGTGTTGCAATAAAATACGGTTTATTGCCACTCTTACTGCTGTTGACGTTCGACTACTTATGTCTATATGGGTGAAGCCGCGTTTTAGTTCAGTGTCACCCCTTGTTTTCAGGAAAGGTCGTAGAGCTAAAATCAATGACTCATAGGATAGTGGTAGGGTGAATATTTTTTGAAAATGTACATGCCATGGGTCCATGCTATATAATCTTGATTATTTTTTGAAAGAAAAACCTCCAACATGATTGATGGCGGGCTAGAGAACAACATCCCTGCATCCAATTTCAAAAACATACCTCCTTGCTGTTATTTCCGAGAGCTGTCAAATGTATGGAAGAGACAGCTCCTGGTTTGATCAAGGTGAACATTAAAAACACATTTTGAATTATAGATTTTAGAATACCGCTGTAATTCCAGCAGACTTTACCTTTGTCCTTTTCATGCACTGTGGATGTTTTTATGATATATAAGAATTAAAATTTGATTTTAATTGCTGTCTGTGTTGTTATGTTTCTGGTTTTAGTACCTTTTTATTTTCTTATGTTTTGGTACTTCTTGTGATCTTTAATGTTGTATTCTTTTTATCAATGGTTTAATGTTTTTCGTAGATTTGATGTTTAATGATTTATACTTGATGTGATATGGGTTCGTAAGGTGCTTTGTGTTGCCTTGTGTATGCGAAACAACAAACATAAATAAAAGAATTAAAATAAAATACAGTGAGCTATAAAGAACGACGAAGGGGTATAATGTTTATGATTTGGATGCAACAAATTTGCGTAAATGACGTTGTGACGTGTGATGCCGTATTCAGTGTTGCCAGAGGCGACCTCCAGCTCTTTTGTTGCTTCTGTCCGGGAGGAGACACCAACATGCGGTTTTTTTTTTCGGAGCTCAGCATGCCCTGGGATCAGAGGGAGGCCATGAGTTTACCTGTGTCGGTCATCCAGAGGTTCCAGGGCTCTCAGTGGGGGGGCGGGTGTGTGTTTCCTCCCCGGGATCCGTGCTTTAGCTCGGTCAGGTATGTGTGAAGTGCCCTGCTAAATTATGCTGTCTGCTTCATGTTTTTCATCTCTTCCAGTTCTGTTTCGTTTCGGCTTATTTTATTTTCAGGTGAGTGCTGCTGTTTGCATAGGACCTGTAAAGAGATTGACAATGTTAATGCCCTTGCAATTAACATATGTCAATCTCTTTACAGGGGTAATAGGTTTGTTATATGGTTAATGCTAAGGCAAGGCAAGTTTATTTGTATAAACAGTGCATAACACAAGGTCATTCAAGTGCATAGAACCAATCCAAGGCATCCAAAGGCTTTAAACCATAATTATTCACAGTGTTATACAAAAGAGGCGAAGATACAATCCTTCAGTTCATCACAGCTAATACAGAACTGTATTAATCTGGATTTAAAACTTTGGCAATGTAGCATCCTGTTACCCATTTTCAGGAAGCTATTCTAGATTGTAGCCTCATCTGAATCTCGCTGCCTTCCCATAATCTCTCTGTGTGTTTTGTATTTAAGATTTGTTTTGTGGCAATCATCCAGATTTTATCTGACATATTTACAGTTTTGATGATTATTATTGCGTGTATTTATGCTTGTGCATGTAGTGATTTACAATGGAGTACAGAGGTTTTACATTTTTAAACTTGTTCTAAAGAGACATTGACTGGGGAGGTGTTCACTGTACGGAGGCCGCCGTGAGAGAAGACCTAGGACAGGTTGGAGGGATGTCTCCCCCAGTGGCCTGGGATTGCCTGGATCGCTGGAGAAAGTGTGTGTGTGGAGGGAATTTCCGGGCTTCTCTTCTTTGACTGCTGTCCTTCGCAATTTGGCTCATTGGATGAAGCAGAAGAATATGGAGGACAGCTTCTTTGCACTCTGTTCTTATGAGAGAACCTTCTAAGCTTGAAACATAATGATAATTGTCATGACTTTTTAATGAAATCTGCAACTGGTATTTACCATAGTACCAGGCAGGCACATAGAGGCCACATTGGTCCAGTGTAATAACCTACCACTGAGTCAGGTTTGTGCTGGGGCCTGGGTTAACTACATTGCTAATATTCTTTTGTATGAGTTTCAGCACTTTGCGATGGCTGCTTTCAAAAACTTGACCTTCTCCTTAAGCCAATTTGTAGCTCCTTTGCCGAAAAATGCTTGAGGGTCATCGTTCCATTTATACACAATTCAAAACTTTTTTTTTTTTGAGACATTGGCGGTCTCCATATTATTCTCATTATGCTCTTTTTCAGATGTGGGTCCACAACAAGGAGACTGCCCCATTTCTGGTTCAGAGTCGGGTTGGTGTTCTCTGCCCCTTAAGCTTCCCTCCTTTGTTCCTAATTTTTGCAAGTCAGTATGGATAAGGCAATTTGCATTTAGTTCGGGCGCTAACCATTAATCACTTAAGCACTTGCTTCACTTGGAAGCCGTTTGTCTGCAGAGCGAACCTCTGCATCAAATGTGTCTAATGCTTTGGGAACGATAATATCTGTCAGAAATTCCTTTCTATTTTTAACAATGAATCAGACGTAAACTTGGTTTGCTTAAAAGATTTATAGTTTAATGATTACTCTTTTAACATAAAAAGGATAATGGATATCATTTGTGTTTTTTAATGGATTGTTTTTGCATAACGGATTTAAATTACTACATATAGTTTTTCTCTGGTGTAAAAAAAAAAAAAAAATCTTTATATATGTTTCCCTCAGTGGCTGGTGAACTTAACCTAGGACGTGTTCGATTGGAAGAATGATGGCACTCCTCTGTGTTCTTCTCGGCCTTTTCGGAAGAGCAAATCTACTTCCACTCCATCGCAGGTCCCTGGTGCAGCGGAGGGTCGAAAGGTAACGCTGGGAAACAAATAGTTCCCACGCAGATGTGTCGTTCTTTTCTGCTGTGGCATGAGGCGTTTCTCTGATCTGTTTTTAACCTGGATTTTCTCGTTTTCAGGAGATGTTCCAGATTTTAGCTTGCGGAAATCTGAATTGCTGCTTCCCTATGTTTGGATGGGGAAGCAGAGTCAGGACTAACAGATGTTTAGTCCAGACTCTGGGACCCGCAGGAGGCCAGTCCTGTGCTCCTCGCAGTAGTCCCAGCAGGAGGGCTAGTCCCTGTGCTCCTCAGAGTCCCAGGGTGGTCCAGTCCCTGTGTGCCCTTAAGAGTCCCAGTGTTTAATGGCACTTACATGTCACAGATGTACTCGTAGTTTACAGTCACGTCTTTTTACTTGATTACATATTCATTTCATCTGTTACATGGATTCACTAGTCACTTTACTGCTGCTATTGTTACTATTGTTTATCTGGTCATTATTCTCTGCTGACTACATCCAATACAACCATTTGTTTAAAACCTCATGATGCTAACTTACAGTTGTTCATACTCTACAAGTGACTCATCTTTGACCCAGGTTCCTTTTTTATCTTATTATTCTATTATCTATTATCTCGAAGTAAGCCTTATGTAAGTATGTGTGCATGTCACTGTCATCATAAAGGCCCTAATTTCAAAAGGCATAATGTTAAAAAAAAAAATATAATAAAAAATAAAAAAAAAAAAAAAAACATTTTCCAATACTTCTTTAACTGTGAACAGTAGTTCACAGTATTTGAAGTTAAATTTTACTAGCACTCCCTAAATCTTGTCATTGGTTTTCATTTCGATGTCCCGCCCTCAGTTTAACCAATCAGAAAGTCTGTGAAATTTTTCCCCGGGTTGCCAGAACTTCACCGGTCGGGTGCTAATCTCATGGTGAAGTAACATGTCAGTTGACAAAATGTCCATCTCAGTTTTTATATTGTGTTCCCGCTGGATTAGTCTGCATATCTGGCAACCTGAGTCAGGGAGAGTGAGAGAGGTTTGCAGTACATTTTGGCCAGATTTTTGAAATATGCTCCTTTAAATAAAGATCCTGTTTGATGTGTGCTCTTATGTCTCATTCTTAATTTTGAACTCCCTTATCTTTATGAATGTAAAACCTTGTTGGCGTCATCTCTGAGAGTGACCCGCCCCCTCAAAGAGCCTTGTCCCGTCACACCCGTCCTGTGTCGATGAGGTGGTGCCGGTTGCTGCCCGTAACCATGGCAGCAGTCCCACAGCCGGAAGCTCACTACGAGGACATGCGTGCGGACTGAAGCATGCTCACTGTCACAGCTGAAAAAGATCGACCCGCTGCGTCCTCAGCGGTCACAGCATGGGAGGGAAAAAGGACGCCATGGCCACTGCCCTGCGCAGGTGAGATGTGAGAGTGGCCTCCTGGAGGTTAGGTTTGTGTGGTATAAGGTTTTATTATAGACCTGGAAAGTGAAATTAGAGGGAAGTAACTGGCCTGTCGAGATTCATTCATACATTTTCTAACCCCTTGGTTAATCCATTCTGGGTCGAGGGTTGGGGGTGGCAAACCAAGCCGTAAACCCTGCTCCATAGCAACCCAGTACCTCACTGATCCTTCCGGCAAGTGGTGGGTTCAGGGGATGGTTTGCAAGCCATAGCCTTTGGTCTTTCGGGGGGGGGGGGGGGGGGCTTTCAGGTAAGTGGGGTGAAGTGTCTGACCCAGGGACAAAAAACAGCAGATACAGTGGGAGCTAGATGGCTATTTCCATTCCAGTCCGGAAGACAAAATGGTTTTCTACCAACTGAGCCACTGTCGTCACGATTGTAGTCGCTCATTTAGAAAATACTGTGAGGCCGAGGTGAAAGGTTTCTTACACTGAAGACCAGACATATCCAGTGCAATTTTATAAAAAGTATATATAGGAGGATTGTTTCGACTATATTGGTTTCCCAATTGTCACTCATTTTGGTGATACGTTCTCGTCAGATAAGAACCAGTGAGGTTTTGTTCAAAAGTGGAGAGGCGGTTCTTTCATTAAAGGTGTGAAACTCCTCCTACTATTTACCTTTTCAACAAACCAAATAAAAATAACATTAGTCTCTGTGGCAGCAGGTTGAATATGTGTCTGCTCCCTACACGGAGCTCAACTCCAAATGATACAATACTATTTATTTTGTATAGTCCTAAATCTACAAACAGCATCATCTCAGAGGACTTAACAAAACCATTGAAAAACACCACACAGATCAAGAGAAATCAACTGTTAAGAGCACATCAGATGTTCTAAACTATTGTCATAGAAGAAAGCTGTCTCACATTTCCAGAACACTGTTCCATGTTCCAGATTTTAGCTGCATAAATCTAAAACATTGCTCTTAGTCGTGACCTGGGGCTCAAGTCCCAGCTGGTGGCAGTCCTGTGCTCTCACGTAGTCCAGCAGGAGGCCCTCACTGTGCTCCTCACATTCCCAGCAGGAGGCCAGTCCCTGTGCTCTCACAGTACCAGCAGGAGGCCTGTCCCAGTGCTCTCACAGTCCCACATTCACTACAACCCTTTGCTATACTAAAACTCAGCTGTAGACTGAATGAGGAGCAGTTAAGGATTTTTTCTAATAGTTAACAAAATCAATTGGATCAGAGCTTCTGAGTTTTGTGTTGCGTTCATTTAACTTTGTCCACAAGATGGCTTAAATTTTTATAGTAAATAAGATAGTAAATATATCCTGTATTCAGGATCAGGCTGATATGGTTTACAACCTATCTCAAATATGCTGTCCCTGGCACTTTCTTGAGAGTGACTCTCATTGGCTGCCTCCTAAATAGCAAATACACTGTTATGAAACATTAAAAAATCCCATATTTTATCTTCATAATTCCAGCCTCACCTGAAGCCCAGCTTCGATATCTGCCTGCACTACATCTTCCCTGAATACCTGAGTTCCCTATAATAAATAAAACACATGTAGTACATTAAACAAATCAGATCTAAGCATATACAAAATAAAACCACCAACCAAAACCAAATAAATACTTTCAACCTCACCTGAAGCCCTGAAGGTCCAGCCACTTCCTCATCCTCTACCAGCACTGCACATTCCCTGTTTGTCTGACTTTCCTTTATGGTATTAATAAAAACACACATTCTACATTGAATAAAATGAAACCTAGGCATGGTACACCAGTCGCTAAATATCTCATGAAACTAGAATTGGTTGATGGGGTCTAAGATTATAACTGCTTAATCCTAACCTCACCTGGAGTCCTGTCTTGTCCTTGTCTTTATCTCCTTCTTGAATTTCCATTATATCTCTCAGAGTGTCCTATATTTAGTAAAGATTTCAGACAACACTTTTTTCATCATTATAGTTGTTTGAGTTTGAGTTGGCATAGGTAATTTCCAACCAAATGATGTTCTTTAACTTTAGTATGATTCTATACTGAGTTAAACCTAATCCAAATCTACATAATAGCCCTCACCTGAGGCTCTAACAGTTCAGGAAAACTGCTCTCGATACTTGAAATAAATCATGCTCTGATCTTTCAATTGCCTATAATAAATAAAAAACAGAGGAGAAAATATTGAATTAGAATCTACAGTGAGTAGCTCACTACATTGTTTGACATATATGATCAATCTCTAAAAACAATTCATAGTCCCATGCAAACCTACAAAATTCCAACCTCACCTGATGCACTGAAGGGCCTGTTGCTTCTACCTCAACATTCCCTATATTGTTCTCATCTTGTTGGTTGAGTTTCCTATGTATGTTAACAGAAGATTAATCATCACAATTCATAATTTGCTATTACTTGTGCTTTCTCTTACTTACTTTCCAACTGTTAAAAAAGCTCCTGATATCTTTTATCTTTTTTTTGTGGAGGTGGCATTTTTTTCTAAATTATATAAGAAGGTATAGACAATCAAAAACAGACATTCATATACATTAACTGCAGAATCATGTATATAACTTGGCCAATGTCAAAAGTTACATAGTATTTCTCAATACAATGAGTTAACAAGAGTTTGGCAATAAGTAACAGTGTGGATTTTTCTATATTTTCTTTTTTTTTATTCCACTCTCAACCCAAAAAGGCAAGTAATGACTCACAGGCTCTCAAGTATGCAAAATAAAAACTTAAATGACCTGTTGTGGTGTGTTTTGCGCACAACCAGCATGCATCGTTAACGCAATGGAAAATTTAGGTATCCGAGCTTTAATTTTGGGAGCGCTGGTTGCGCTTTGGGAAGAGTCAGGGGAGAGACATGTCAGAGACACAGGGGAGAAACGCGGGAGATACGAGGGAGACCCGCACTTGCAACATGGTTCTGTCTGCATATGGTCCGAGCTCGGTACCATGTTAGAGCTGTGCTTTCACTGAGCGCCGCGGCTGTCATTACAAAGCGGCAGCAGCTGCACCAGGACGAGCACATTCGAGTGCATCGCTTGTGCTTAGAGCAAATAACAGCAAGTGCCCGCTGTCACACATTTCACAGAAATTACATTATCAGCAGATAAAGGTTGTAAATCGTGGATCCGTGGAATATTTTCATCCTAGTTTATCCTGATTCGCACAACACACCCACTTATACATTTTGGATAGTAAGAGCACAATAAGTATTTTTTCAGCCTTTCAACCAACCTGTTTCTTTATTGGAGCCAGTTCTGTTCTGTCTCTGTGCCGTGTGAGCTCCTCGGAACATTAAACAGTGCGCTGACAGATTAGAAATAACGTAAGTACTTTGAATGGTAATAGATCTACAGTACTTTCCTCTGATTAATCACGTGCTACAACGCTCAGGGAACGAAATAAAACACTTGCTTCACGCTGGCTAACTTTTAAAAATTAAACAGTCGCTCAGTGCTTCAGTTTGGCGCTGAAGAAGACAGCCAATCACTGCAGAGAACGGAACGGGTCACGTGCTGCTGCTGCTGCTGTTGCTCTGGAGGCGAGGAGGAGGCGCGACCATGGATCTATTATATTAACTGGATAGGGTATTACTAGCTTGTAGCTGAATAACTCACGTGCTCAGGGGATTCTCGCGGTACTGCAGACTGAACCAGACTAAATTCACGTGGGCTTCTGCAGTAATTTGTCAGAATTCCCCAGCCCCAGAAGCTGCAGAGAGGCCGCAAACACAGCCCTTCGTTCTGCAGGTCCTTTTAGTTCAACAAGAGACAAAAACCAATGTTAAAACAGTAATAGAAATGACAGATACCAAACCTGATTTCAAAAGGTTATATTGAAGATTTTGCAAGCAATATTACAAGATAACGGTCTGCGAACACAAGTCTCGCTTCGCGTTCAGATAAGGAGTGGCCCCGGGGACGTCTTTCACCCTCCTGGTCAGAAGAAAAAGAAAAAAGCCCCCGTGCCTCCTCCTGTACATCTTTTATACTGTACATCCAAGGTCACTGACATCACAGATTCGTGGACTCTATGACTCCTTCTGGCCGCTGCCAACGTTTGCACCTGCTCTGATAACCACTTGTCTCCCTCTTGTCCCCCTCCCATTCTCACACAGACTAACCTTGAACTCACTGCTCTTTGAGATTTACACAAACAAGTGCTAATTTGGCAACAGAAACAATACTAAACTGATTTTAATTTTAACTGGTCCAGGAGTTCAATATTCCAACAGTCCCCCTGTTGGCCGGAGAGGAACTCTTCGGACATCCATCACTCTCGTCTCAGATGGCCCATCTTCATCAGTTGATCCAGCATTACATCCTATACTCAGTCTAATCCCAGTCTTCACGACGATCTGTGAACTCCTAAACCACCCCATGTGACATTATGAAAAATGTGGTGGTCTTCCACTCACCCTTACTTCAGACCCGCCCCAAAGGCCTCTGGGCGGACTGAGCATCCAACTCACCCTAAACTACATACATTGAAGTGATCCTATAAAACAATCTATATGTGGGTGTGCTGCGGTGTCTAGTCTGTGTAACAAAAACAATAGTTGCAAGAGCTGTGGAGAAAGAATATGTTTGTGTCGTGCATCAATTTGAATTATGTAATTTTTTATTTTAATTTTTAATTTTTATAATTTTTTATCGCATCCCCGATTTTCCCAAGTCCCTCTTACAATTTTGCAAGGTTATGTGCGTTATTTACATGCAAGCAGTTATACATTTTTGATTAAAATATTTTGATAATATCATAAAGCATACTCACAACTCCTCTGGTGATATTCTGACAATATCACAGGCCATACTCACCCGTTCTTCTGATGATTGTCCTTTA